TCACTCTCGTCAGTAGCTCCAGCCAGAACTCCTGGGTCTGTGTTTGAAGCACCCCCTCCCCCCTTTTTTTTTCCTGAACTGAGACCCACACCCCCAGTTCCAGCTGTCAACTGGACAGGCCCATCTGAGGTCCCACCAACACTAGTGAATCAGCATGAACGCTCGTTCATCAAACCTCTCCTAGTGCCTTTCCCAATTTCCAGCTGCCTCCTTCTTTTCACCTGGGCTGCAAGCCTAAGCCTGGAAGTGATCAGAGCACCTCACTTCCACAGAGATAAGCCTGGCCTCCCAGGCTGGCACTCACATCTCCACCCCTCCCATCACACCTCCCATGCCAGCTGGGAGCCACCATTTTCTGAGCCGTCTGCTGGGGCTTCCCCGCTCCTCCACCTTACAGACACAATCCCACTCCTCCATTCTCAGTGTGTGTTAGTCGCTCAGTCGTGACTGACTCTTTGTGACCCATGGACTGTAGTTTGCCAGGCTCCTCTCTCCATGGAATTCTCCAGGCAAGAATACTGGAGTGGTTGCCATTCCCTTCTCTAAGGGATCTTCCCAATGCAGGGATTAAACGCAGGTCTCCTGCATTGCAGGAAGATTCTTTACCATCTGAGCCACCAGGGAAGCCCCCACATTCTCAGGGCCCTTATTAAATGCCACCTCCTCCAAGATGCTTCCTCCATTCCCTCACTGGAAATAACAGTGACAATGGCAAATATGTATTGGGATTGACCGTGTGCCAGGCACAGAGCAAGCATTTTCCATCACGTAACAGCCACAGGTGGGAATTATGATTTGTTTCATCCCCATTTTACAGCTAAGCAAACTGAATCTCCAAGAGATTAGCAAACTTTCCCAAGGCCCTATGCTCCAACTGAAACCTCGCTCTGCTGAGCTCTAGAGCTCATAGAGCTCATGACTCCCTCCCTTGAGTTATCCAAGGCATTTTATTTCTTTAAACATTCTTCCTTGCATTGTATTGATAGTTAATTAGGTAAGTTCTGAAACCTGTTGTTGAAGAGCATAACAGTTTTGTTCTTTACTTTTATTTTTAACAAATAATATATGTAAGTAGTTGACAATGCTGAATACTGTGGTGTACTACCTGGACTTCCTGGGAAAACCACCAGTTCAGCCCCAACCATCCCCACTCCTGATCCCAATTTCCTGTGATTTCATGTCTCTTTCATCTCTGCCTCTGGCCCACAGTGGGCCATCCATACATGTTAGATGTCAACCATCAAATAGATGCTGAGTAACTATTATGCTTCCAGTAGTCATGTTTTTTGAGAAGCTAGGCCTTAAAGAAGACAGCATTGAAGAACTGATGCTTTTGAACTGTGGTCCTGGAGAAGACTCTTTAGAGTCCCTTGGACAACAAGGAGATCAAACCAGTCAATCCTAAAGGAAATCAACCTTGACTATTTATTGAAAAGATCGATGTTGAAGCTGAAGCTCCAATAATTTGGCCACACGATGAAAGGAATCAACTCATTGGAAAAGACTGATGCTGGGAAAGATTGAAGGCAAAAGGAGAAGGAGGAGACAGAGGATGAGATGGTTGGATGGCAACACTGATTCAATGGACATGAATTTGAGCAAACTCTGGGAGATAGTGAGGGATGGGAAGCCTGGCCTGCTGCAGTCCAAGGGGGCTCAAAGGGTCAGACACAACTCAGTGACTGAACAACAACAGCAAAACTATTATGTGTCCAGCGCTGTGCTCAGTGAAGGTGTAATTGCTGTCCTGCTCTTACCAGACACTCCCCAAGAACTGAAAATCTCAGGCCACAGCCAGGCCTCACCCTGGTAGTGACGCTGAAGTGAACCAAAAAAGACTTGACGTCTGATCAAGTCTGATGTCTGTGTCCAGGTGAATAAATTAATTAGCATTAAGTTTGGCCATGTTTAGCAGAGATCCAAAACAACAGTGGCTTCACCAACACAGAGGCGATGTCTCTCACACTCAGCACACGTCCAGAGACAGGTGGTCCACGCCAGTGTTTCATCTCAGCTCCAGGAAGTGCTCAGGGACCTGGCCACCTCCAGCTGCCTGCGTCACCATTCACAGTGAGGCCGTCATCCTCATGATCCGAGAGGCACAAGAACGCAGGCGGTGCGTGCATACTAAGTCGCTCAGTCGTGTCCGACTCTTTGCAACCCCGTGGACTATAGCCCTTCAAGCTCCTCTGTCCGTGGGATTCTCCAGCAAGAACACTGCATGGGGCGCGATGCCCTCCTTCCAGGAGATCTTCCTGACCCAGGGATTGAACCCTAATCTCTCACATCTCCAGCATTGGCAGGCTGGCTCTTTACCACTAGTGCCACCTAGGAAGCCCAGGAGCACAGACTGCCGCATCCTTAATTCCGGCATCCGGATGGAGGAGGGGGCAGAAAAGGGAGAGCAAAGGCACACAGCGCGAGAACTGCCACATCGTACTTCTGCTTGTATTCAGTTGGCCAGAATCGATCTGCATGGCCACACCAGCTGGGAAAGAAAGTATTTATTCTGAATGGCCACCTCTCTATCTACACTTGGATGTTCTGTTAATTGGGAAGAAGGGAATCGATCCTGGAGATGAATCACCAGCCTCTAGCAAAAGGGTTAGATGTGTAGATAGGACTTCCCTGGTGGTCCAGTGGTTAAGACTCCATGCTTCCAATGCAAGGGACTAGGATTTGGTCCCTTGTTGAAGAACTAAGATCCCACATGCCTCAAAGTGCAGCAAAAAAAGAAAAAAATTATTTTAATTAAAAGGGTTAGATATGTTGATGTGTATGTGTGCACACCTGAGTGTGATGTGTTATACATGTGAGCAAGTGGTTTCATGTTGTGTGTGTGGGTGGATTGGGGTTTCCTCAACACTTCGATCTCAAATGGGCCTGTTAACGTGTTCTCTCTGCAGCGACCCCAGGGAGCTCCCCTAACCCTGGTCTCTCCTCTTAGGCAGGCTTATTCAGCAGCAGCCTCTCAATTCCACATCTCAAGGAACTGTGATTTATTTTCAGTGCCCACTGGAGCATATTATCCATGGTGATCGAGGGGGCTAGTAAAACTGTTTTTCTACTCAGGTATTACAAGGTGGCCATGACATGCGAGTGACTATGATCAGAGTTAATCTGGTAATAAATTCTCTCGGGAAGGAGGGTGTCATTAATACATAAATCCTAGAAAAGGTTACCACTCAATCTTGTGCCTCAGGGGGAGGACCCCGAAATACCAGGCACCCTCTTGAGATGCCCAGGGAAGGCAAGGGGCCAAATGCTAGATTAAGGGCTGCCTACAGGTAGTGTTGCCCAAGCATTTCAAGTTCTGCCAAGTAATTACACAATTAAAAAAAAAAAGCTGACATTTTCCCCCTGTCCCCCACCTCCATCCCCCACCTACACCCTTACACACACACATACACACAGCAGGCAGGGACTTTACAGGTGCTTTTCAATTACCCTTTGAGCCAAGTGATGTTATTTGTTCCATTTCACTGATGGGAACTGATGCTTTAGGGAATTAAATCTTGTCCAGAGACACTAGGTAAATAAGGGCGGAGCCCACTGATGAAGCTGTGGTGTCTAACCACTGGCTTCCACTTTTGGGTTTCATGGACTCATGCTGAGGGCTTAGCAGTATTTATTTCCATTCCTCAAGCATTTGGTGGAAATGTTTACTCAGAGAATAAGGAGTTAATAGAGGTAGTGTTGAATTTTTAGGAGCCACAACAAGCACAAAACCATTTGAAGTACCCTCTCTTGAATTACTTATATTTTTCATACATGAAATAGTTATGGGGGTACAATCTCTTAGCTTCATCTTAGAATAGAGCAGGGTGTTTGTTCCCAAGTGCCNCTTGCAGGCATTTAACTTGATTACCTTTTGCCTCATGTATCTCATTAAAACTTCGCAGCTTAATCAAGGATCTGCATATTATGAATGTTAGAATTCACAGTTCCATGACTTTGGAAGTTTCAGACATCCTGAGCGAACACGGTAGGCTGAGAGTGTATGTGCAATCTCTGGCCTTCAGGTCGTTGCGCCAGCTGCTCTCTTGGCCACTTATGGCAACCACTTTATACTTTTCCGGAAGCCTGCCTGGACTTCAATGCCCAGCTCAGGCGACGCCTCTTTCCAGGGAGCCTGCTTTGTAATCCCGCGATATCTTGCCCTTCTTGCAGAGCTCTTTCTTAAAAATATATATATGTATAATTTATTTTTAATTGAAGGATAATTGCTTTACAATATTGTGTTGGCTTCAGCCGTACTTGCAGAACTCTTTCCTCCTGTATTGTTATGGCCTGTTTACTATCTCCCCTATTAAACTGGAAACACTTTGAGAGTAAAAAACATCCGTTGTTCACTGTCGCATCCTTGGTGCCCAGCACTGCATCTGACATTATCAGACCTTCTGTAAGTGCCTGTCAGAGTCAGGCTCCCAATGGGAGAGAAAGGAAGTAATAAAGCCAGTGGTAAATGCCATCATGGAGGTATCAGCACGCTGCTGTGAGTGAGTAATGAAGAGGACAGTCACATAATCTCTAATAATAGGGTAGTAATAGAGAACCTTTCACAACTCCTTTAAAGCTCTTTGACTCACATTATCTAATTTGATCCTCATAAAAGCCTGGAGATAGGTATATTGCTGGGGATACAGGGGGAGTTTTTAGCGGTTATGGGATATGCCTGAAGCCCTGCAGCTATTAAATGGCTGGATTGAAACCAGACCTTAAAAGCCTGCAGTCCATCCACTCCTGCCTTGGCTCACTGCTGTGTGGCCTACCGCACACCTCACTGTGGTTTTCTTGATTCCGCCACACCTCTCCCAGGGGAATGTATTTCATTACTGTTATTTCTAGATAATGAATTGTCTTTGAGGAGATGATAGCTATGGCAGACAGCAAACCTCGTTGTTATCCGCATCCAAAGACGCGGATGCGGGTGGTAACAGAGCACATGGGTGTTCTCGGAGATCCAGCGACGTGCCACGTGTGGTTCCTTCTGTTTTCAGGCCCCAGAAGCCCATCCCGGGAAGGAAAATGCGCTGTGGACCCCTGTACCAATTCCTGTGGCTTTGGCCCTATCTGTCCTACATGGAGGCTGTGCCCATCCGCAAGGTCCAGGATGACACCAAAACCCTCATCAAGACGATTGTCACCAGGATCAATGACATCTCACACACGGTAGGGAGGAACCGGGAGATGAGGTAGAACCGTGGCCATCCCGTGAGGGACCCCAGAGGTTGGCGGAGGAGGCTGTGCAGCCTTGCACAGGGGCCCCAGCAGCCTGGACACCCCCCTAGCATAAAGACCGCTCCTCTCCTCTTCCACTTCCCTTGCCTCCCACCTTCTCACTCTCCTCCCTCCCAGATTGGAATCCTAGTGCCCAGGCCCAGAGGGAGTCACAAAGGTCCTGGTGTCCCCTTGGCAGGTGGCCAGAACCACAGCAGCTCTCCCTCTGGGCCTCCATCTCATTTCTAGAATGTTTTAGTCGTTAGGCATTCTTCCTGGCTGGTAGCTGAGCTCTGACCCTGCGAAGCTTCTCCTCATTACTGCCAGCCCTGCCCATCAAGCCCTCTTCAGATACAACCCTCTGTGTTTTTGCAAACAGTTATCAATGTCTCTTGGGGCATTTTTTCTGAGGTCCACAAGCTCAGACCTGCAACCACAGATGAGGTCTGTATTTAGAATGAGGGAGATGAAGTGTGAGTTCTCACCTTTCTGTTCTCTGTAAAGTCTTAAGTTAGTCAGGTTCCTCAAGGTCTTTAAATCCCAGTTTCCTCATCTAGAAAATCAAAGTGGGAAAGTGTTAGTTGCTCAGTCATGCCCAACTCTTTGAGACTCCATGAACTGTAGTCTACCAGGCTCCTCTGTCCATGAAATTCTTCAGGCAAGAATACTGGAGTGACTTGTCATTTCCTTCTCCCAACGAGATCTTCCCAACCCAGGGATTGAACCTGGGTCTCCTGCATTGCAGGCAGATTCTTTACCATCTGAACCACCAGGGAAACCCATAAGACCTTGTGAAGACTATTAAGATAGTCATATAGACAACAGGACTATCTTAATAGTCTTCATAAGGTCTTCATGAGACTAAGTTAGATAAAGCAAGTGATCCTCCCTGCATACCCTTGCAGAACCAGAACTGTGCGTGCCCTCTTCCAAGGTTTTCAGTCATGACTTTTGATAGCTTCCCACCTTAAAAGTCAACTTGTAAACCTGCATGGAGCAATCTAGAGACTTCCACATCTGACCACTCTATATTTCTAACAGTGGCTTTGGGCAGCCAGGGAGCAGTTAGGTGGCCAGAAGCGGGGACAGATCAGAAATAGACAGCATCTGCATTTCCTAGAGAAAAGCCCTTAAGTTCCTTGCTTTCCAAACAGTCATTCAGCAAGCTGGACACAATAGACCCAGGGTACCCCAACCTGTGTGGTGCTGGGATTGATTGCTGTGGGTGGCGGGGGAGGGGAGAGCCCCTCCTGGTAACCAGGGTTACTTGAGCGGGGCATTGAGCTGGGGCATCGCTGGGGTAATGGCCTGAATCCCTTAGGGAGTGAGACTTCCTGGAGAACCTGACTGAGAGGGAGGAGTCTGCTTGGGGTGGAAGAGTTGGGGACAGGGCATGTATGGAAGACCTCAATGCCTGGGGAAGAAACTCAAGTAAGAAACAGGGAGTCGTGGCTGGTCCTATAGCAGAGTCATCTGGAAAAGGGAACAACCTTCAAAGGCTGGTCTGGAAGCAAAGGGCAGGGTGGTTTGGGAAGGGCAGAAAGACAGGAGCCCAGGAGACCAGCTTGGAAGCATGGCGGCCACATGGGCACAAGAAATAAGGGCCCAGGGCGGATGGTGTGGAAGGGGGGAAGGAGGCACCTCCACACTCGAGGGAAGGGCGGAGTGAGGGGGGGGTCTGATGAGCTACCCTCTCTCCCACTGAGCTCTTACTCTCCCCTTCCTCCTGCATAGCAGTCCGTCTCCTCCAAACAGAGGGTCACTGGTTTGGACTTCATCCCTGGGCTCCACCCTCTCCTGAGTTTGTCCAAGATGGACCAGACACTGGCGATCTACCAACAGATCCTCACCAGTCTGCCTTCCAGAAATGTGATCCAAATATCTAATGACCTGGAGAACCTCCGGGACCTTCTCCACCTGCTGGCCGCCTCCAAAAGCTGCCCCTTGCCGCAGGTCAGGGCCCTGGAGAGCTTGGAGAGCCTGGGCGTCGTCCTGGAAGCCTCCCTTTACTCCACCGAGGTGGTGGCCCTGAGCCGGCTGCAGGGGTCTCTACAGGACATGTTGAGGCAGCTGGACCTCAGCCCTGGGTGCTGAAGCCTTGAAGGGCTCTCTTCCCAAAGTCCAGGGAAGAAACCTGAGCTTCTGGCTGTCTGCAGGAGGAGAGAGCCTGTGTGGGCATCCTTTATGCAGGCCAGCGGGCCATTTCTCTCTCGCTCCTCTCAGCTGCTCTTCCAGAGGCAGAAAACTGCAAGGCAGGAAACCAAAGATATAAATACAGGTTCCATGCCCACCGGGAAGGGGGGTCCATCCAGCAAACAGTAGACCAGAGCTGGGATTTTCACAGCAGTCTTCCTCCCTGTTCCAGCTCCCTCTCACTGCATGCTTCAGCATGACCTGGGGTGATTTCAGAGCCTTTGAACCATCAAGCAAGATTCCCTCTGAGAATCCAGGGAGCATCATGAAGGCTACGGGCACATACAGCTGGATATTCCCACATAACACATGACGGAAGCATCTATTTATTTATTATGCATTTTATTCTGGATGAATTTGAAGCAAAACACCAGCTTTTCCAGGCTCTTTGGGGTCAGCTGGGGTGAGGGATGCTACTGGGGTGCCCATCGACAGGCCTCGCCAAGGCAAACCCATTTTGAGTGACTTGAGGGCTCTCGAATTTGTTCTCCGGGGACTGGCTTTGTTTCTACTGTGACTGACTTTAAATTACAGTGTTTGCAATGGCATTGCTCTGAACGGATCTCGAAGGACCAAGTTATTTTAAAAAGAAGAAGATGAGTTTTGTCAAGTGTAATATATTGCTGGGTATACCTGGAGGTGGGAAATGTGTTGATGGGAGGGGGGAAGATCTAGAATGTGTTTTCTGAATAACATTTGTGTGATGGACTCTTTGGATGGGGTGAGGTCATCTTCTCATCTTTGTGGTTTTCATGAAGAGGAGATGACTTCTTTGGGGGGATGTGGGGGTTTGCCAACCATCCATGGATGGAGTGGTGGGGGTACTGAAGCCGAAGACCGTCAGGGTAGTGGTGAGCTCTGGCCTTCTCTGACTGTTAGAGAGTGGTCTTGCTCATCAGGAAGTGAGGGCCCCACATCGGAGATGGTGATCCCCAAAGCAGGGGTCCTCAGTGTGAATGGTCTGGGTTGACCCCGCATTGTGTTGATAACATGGTAGTGACCTTCTTTGGGATTTGCATACTCACCCAAAGCAAGGCCATGTTTCCCATCCATTTGGGAAGGATTTTTATTCCAGTGGGAGAGGGAAGTCTTCAGGAAGTCTGTGGGCTTCAGGGGATGGTCCCTAGACCTGGGTCAGCAATGGGTCAGTTGAGGCCCAAGACCCCAGGACCAGCCTCCAGGATCCTCCTTCTCACTAGTGGTCATGTGCAGTAGAACAAAGGAGGAGGCTTGGGTTTCCCACCATCCTGCCATTGTGATGCAGCCATCACACAACAGGAGGTGGATCAGTCGGAGGGAATTGGAATCTAAGCAACCAATTTTAAGACTGAGCACCTACTTGTGCTCAGCCCCAACTGGTGCTATGGGCTGAGAAGCTCACCAAATAAATATTAAAATGCAAGCCCTGCCCTCAGGGACCTTGCATTTCAGATGGTAGAATCCCACTCACCAGCATGCAAAGGCTGCCATTTCACCATGGCAACGGAGCAGCTGAGACAGTGCAGTCCTCAGCAGGTGGGAAATGCTGAGCTGTGGAGGGCAGTGCCCAGGGGCCCACAGGCTAACTGTGCTTGCACTAGGTAGCATTTTTACTTTTCAGGGCACGTCAGCATCTATTACTGTGATGCCACATCCCTTTGAAGCGGGATAGCTAAGAATTTAGTAAGAAGAAAATACCTAAGACCATAACAGCAGGCAGGGGGCAGGACCAAGACTAGAATCCAGGCCCTCTGACCTCCAGAGTGTCCCTTGAGCCAGGTGGTAGTCTCTGGAGACGTGAACAAGAAGGGCAGGGAGAGCAGGAGTGTTTGCTGGAAGAGAGGCGTCCTGAGGCCAGTTTTGCAGGCGAAGAGGGAAGTGAATTGCCTGGAGGGAGGAGGCTGTTTTGTTTGAAGCTTCGGTGTGGTCTGAGACACCGAGGGGAGGTGATAGGGTGGGCAGCTAGTTACAAAGAAAGGCAGAGAAAGGAAAGATGGGAGGGAAGAGTTATGCTGAAGAGGAATTCAGGGGCAAAGATGTTTGCTACTGAAACATATAAGGGTGAAAGTTCTAGAATGAGACTCATGTGATGGGCAGAGTCAGATCTGCTCGAGAAGACATGTCCTGATGATCACAGTCCAGTCAGGCCGGGATGTTTTAAGCTTTTTGCTCACAAAACCTGGCATGGCACTAGGGCTCGTTCCCAGAGTGCGAAACTTCCAAAATGTAAACGATTGTGTTTTTCTGTAACTTAAAACAATTGTTTTTGTTCCAAAAAGTCCAAATAAATGACCTTTGCCCCTTGGTCCTTGTTTTTGGTCATCCGCTGTGGAGGGGCTCCAGAAGGGCTGCCTGTGTGTGACAGGGCACCGCCTGGCTGGCCCCAGTCCATCCCTGGGATCAGCTCTGCCCGGGCTTGGCCATGGCCGGCCACCAGTTATTCAGGCTAAAGGATTCCCCCAAAGCCCAGAGCACTTGCTGCACCAGAGGCTATAGAGATCAGCCTTGAGAAAAACCAAGCTCTCCACTATTTCAGAAACAAAAACTGAGAAAAGAGCGACCGCAACAAAACCATACATAAAAACATGTGGCCCAGTAATGGGCCAGGTACACAGACTGGAAAAGACCGGACTTGTCTTGTCCAGGACACAGAGCACAGACACTCACCTCGGTGGTGCAGCCTGGACTTGAGAGTTTCAAAACTCAAGCCCCGAGGAGGACCCAGGGGCCGGCCCATCAACGGCAGTCACTTCCACAGGTGAAAAATTGCTCCTCCAAAAATTGCTGATTTCTCTGGAGAGTTTAATGAGATAATGACCTAGCAGAGTGTCTGCCTTAAAACAGATTTAAGTGAATCTTCTCTTCACATCACAATTAGCTGCTGCTGCTAAGTCACTTCAGTCGTGTCCAACTCTGTGCGACCCCATAGACGGCAGCCAACCAGGCTCATCTGTCCCTGGGATTCTCCAGGCAAGAATACTGGAGTGGGTTAGCAGCAGGCTTTAAATGTCAGTGATCCAGGCCCAGGGAACACACTCGTGCAAATCCACCTCCACTAGCTTGGATCAGGGAGGAGAGCGGGGAGCAAAGCTCCTGATGGCAGGGAGGCTACAGAACTGGGGCAGTCAGATGTGGCTGCAGCAGCCTAAGTGGACCACTTGGCAGCTTGGGGAAGTGTCTGGCCTCTCCTGGTCAGACTGGACAAGAGTCCTTTAGCTAGGAATGACAGAAACCCTAAGGCAAACCAACTTAAACAAAAAAGAAAATTTTTGGCCCACTTTGCTGAGAAGTCCAGACCTCAGTCCATCTCTTACAACACTTTCCTCAGGGACCTGGAAGGTGCTATGCCATGACCCACCCCCCCCTTCCCTCCTGCCTGAGGGGCAGCCTGAGAAGTCTGCCCACCTCCAGCCAGCAGCTAGGGAAGCCAGCCCACAGTAGCAGGGGTCTCCGGGCAGAGGCCTGGGGATGACACTCCCTCCTCTGTGAAGCGACTCCCGGGGTCAGAGAAGAAAGGCTGTTCTTAGAGTTGTTCCAGAACATTCTCCCTCCTCAGGCATTCTCTCGTGCTCCCCTGAGGCAGCAGCTCATATCCGCCAAACAGCTGGCAGAGTCTGGGAGCAGTGACTGGTGGCCGTGTTCAATCTCCAAAGGCAAGACTTTGGCTGAGTCTAGTGAGAAAAACCTGCAAGCAGCCCAGGAGGGCCTTCTGAAGACCCCAACCCAGAAACTTTCTGTGCAACAGCACACAACCAAAAAAATCACACCCTATTTTTCCAAAAGGAATTTAGAGCAATTTATTCCTAAATTTAGGCTTTTAACAGTCTAGTGACATCTGACCACACAAATCCATCTGGGTTAAGTTCACCAATGGGGTGCTTAACCCTTTGGCAATCTACTTAACCTCTCTTGCACACACACTAGTCACTTCAGTCGTGACCGACTCTGTGAGTCTATGAACTGTAGCCCCCCAGGCTCCTCTGTCCATGGGGTTCTCCAGGCAAGAATATTGGAGTGAGTTGCCATGCCCTCCTCCAGGGGATCTTCCTGACCCAGGGATCGAGCCCACATCTTTTATGTCTCCTGTGCTGGCAGGTGGGTTCTTTACTAGTGCTACCTGGGAAGTCCTAACCTCTCTAGCCTCAGCCTCAGTTAATCATCTGTACAATGGGAGCATAATAACACTGTCTGCATAGATTTTTAGAAGATTCAGTGAAGCTATTACCCCAGTGACTGCTCCACAAAGAGCACTCAACAAATTACATTGCTGTCATTAGTATTAATGAGTCAGGGCAGAAAAAGGAATGAGGACTGCAGTAACAGACACAGTGGATGCCCTCAGCCCACTTCTGAGTTCAATGCAGCTGGGCCGTGCAGCTGAGCCTTGCATGGCCCTCCCTGCCTCGCTCCACACTGACGCCTTAGTCAGCCTTCTCAGCTCACACGGGTCAGCCTGAAAGTGAAAGAGTGAAGACCTCAGAGAAGCAAGCCTCAATCAGTGGGGGGTGGGGGCCAGCCTCCTACGGTCCGCAGAAGCAATTCTGAACTACCTTCTACCTGGATTGAGGCCCTGGTGCTCACACCAGTCACCACATCAATAAAGCACTCTCAATACCTTTTCCTCCTTCCACTTCTCAGTCCCTCCTGCCTCACTCTTGCCTCCAAAATACATTAAATACACCTCCTGCACCAAGAGCTCAGGCACTGCTTTTGGAAGAACTCAAAGTAAGACAACTGCGGAGCGAATGGAGTGGATTCAGATCCTGGGAGAACTGGGAAGCAAGGTTTTGGAGAGGTGCAGGAACCATTCATCTGCACTCAGAGAACCCTGGGCCACCCTGGGGAATAAGGCTAAGTGAGAGGTCCTCAGGAAGAAGGGACTCCACCTCAGGAAAGCTTGACTTGAGAGAGTATGGACAGGAAGGGGAATCACTAAGAGGGAAGCATTATAAGATTAAGAAAGAAGGAAGGCAGGGAGGGGAGGAGGGAGGAAGGAGAGGAATGATAAGAGGAGAAATATATAAAGTTTTAAGCATCACCTGTCTTAGCGTGTCCAGGATGCTATAACTAAGTACCATAGTCTGGGTTTCTGGCTCACTGGTAAAGAACCCACCTGTCAATGTAGGAGATGCAGGTTCAATCCCTAGGTTGGAAAGATCCCTTGGTGAAGGAAATGGCAACCCACTCCAGTATTTTTGCCTGGGAAATCCCATGGACTAAGGAGACTTGTAGGCTTCGGTCCACAGGGTTGCAAAAGAATCAGACACGACTCAGTGACTAAACAACAACATAGTCTGGGTGGCTTATAATTAACAGAAATTTATTTCTCACAGTTCTGGAGGCTAGAAGTCCAAGAACAAGGTGCCAGCAGATTTTGTGTCTGGTGAGGGCCCCCTTCCTGGTTCATAGACCACATCTTTCACCGTGTCCTCACATGGCAGAAGGGGCTAGGAGTTCTCTGAATTCTCTTTATTTATTTTATTTTTTTTTTGAATTTTTTTTTTTAATTCTCTTTAATAAGGACTCTAATCCCATTCTTGAGGACTCCACCCTCACGACTTAATCATCAGGCAAAGGCCCCAGCTTTTAACACCATGACATGGCACTTGGATTTAACATATGAATGTGGGGGACGGGGGACACAGACATTCAACCCATGGCATCACCTGATGATAACTGGTTGGAGGGATAATCAGGCCAAATCAAAGGAGTCTCGATTGTTGAATATTTTCTGGGTAAAATGTCTTCTTACAAAAATAGGAGCTAATATTGGCATTTCTTCCTTCCACCAAACACTCACAGCCTCTTTGCTCCTCTGCATTAGTTCACAGGGAACCCTTTTTCATGGCTTTCACAGCCACATCCCACTCTGAGGAGTGAGCTTCTGAGGCCCGGCTCACCTTGCTCAATGCCCGGCTATAGCGTCTGACACAATGCAGGCCTCCCGTTCCTGCTTGGTGACCAAAGAAATTGAGGCTCTCATATACTAAGCCCATTATTTACATGTAAACCAATTCTGCAAAAAACCTGAAGACAGTCCTATCCTTTAAATTAGAATTTTCATTAGAATTCTGCTCACTCTGAATTTGCTCAGCAAACTTCTTTTTGAGTTCAAAGATAGAGATCTAAACCAACTGTGAAAGACTGCTTTGAGGCAATGGACAGAAATTTGACTGTGGATTCTGTTTTAGATGATGACAAGGAATTCTTATTAATTTTCTTAGCTCTAATGATGGCATGGTGATTAATTATTTTTTAAAGTTTTCTTATTCATTAGAGAGTCAAACTGCAGTAGTTTAAGGTGAAATACAGTGATACCTGGGATTTATTTTAAAATACTTCAGGAAGAAATATATCCTTTTATTTATTATGTATATATATACATATATAAGCATAGTATGTATATACATATACATGAAGTTAAATAAGCAAGCTGTGTAATAATATATTATGTACATATGTATGTATAGTATGCATATATATATATATATATACACATGAACTTATATAAACAAGATCAGCACAATGTTGATCATTGTTAAAGCTGGGTGGTGTGTACATAAGAGTTCATTATACCAGGTCCTTTACTTTGGGGTAAAATTTCCAGAATAAATATTTGCAGGGGAAGGGTCACTCAGTCCAGCCCCTCCACTGCCTGGGCATCTGCATTCTTGGAAGGAAGGAGGTGGTGGAGGGAGGAGGGAGAGTGAGGATGCCACGTGGAGCCGAGCTGCATTTAACGTCACATGTGATGTCACCACCTGGCAGATGTCCCAGGGCCTGGGGGAATGGTAGACTGTCCGAGCAGGTGTGGAACACTGACTAAAACAGACATTTAGCAAATCAAACAAGGAGAACGTGGTTAAGAGCCAGCTGAAGACGCTGGCAAGGCAAGTTCTGATGCTGGTTAAAAAAAAGAAAGAAGAACAGAAATCAGGGCTGTGAGCTCTGCCCCTTCCTTGCTGGGCCCCAGGATGCCAAGGAAGCCATGAGCCTTCCCTTCCCCTCCCCCAGGGAAATCATAGTTCTCCCTCTGTTCAGTTACTCCTCCATATTAAACACACTATATAGAGTGAAGCCCTCAGCCCATTTGTGAAGGAAAACAGGATTCTTGTCTCTTTCCCAATTAAGTTATCATTAAAAAAAAAAAAAAAAAAGATTCACCTGGAGAAGGAAATGGCATCCCACTCCAGTATCCTTGCCTGGAAATCCCATGGACAGAGGAGCCTGGAGGGCTACAGTCCATGGAATCACAAACAGTTGGACACAACTGAGCGACTAAACCACCAGCAGAGAGATTCAGAC